AAGAATTAAGTTTATCCACTTTTATCATTAATGCTATAATTTCTCCAATAAAAATACTGGATTTTTTATCAATTGCTTGAGACACTCTTGTATGATGATCGAGTTCTGATAACTTCATTAGCTCTTTTACCATACCTATCTCATACTCGTTATATGTATTATTAGATATTTGCTCTTGTTTGCATATCATTATAGAGAAGTATTCTGTAATCAAATATTTATTATACAAGAAAAAAATATATAATAATAATACTCCTGAGCATCTTGTCGCTTAACCATGCTAGGTTCCTTCTTTCACTAATAGCTTATTGGAGTAAGCTGGCTATGTGAGACGTACATTCATTTTGATATTTCTCTGAGAGCTTAGCCCTTGTAGCTTTTTTTTCGGACACATTATGAGGTATCTTTTACCATATTTTTATAAATCATATTATGCCAATGACCATATGGTAAAGTAGTTATCCTATCTAATAGGATCCAACGTTTAGTATCTATGAGACATAATGCCTTTTTCTCTAATTCGACTAGAGATAATATATGATCCTTTGATCGAATACCCACATTTTTGGCATAGAATACTTTCTTTCAAAGAAACAATCCAGATATACTAAAGTCATAGGATCTGCCTCAGTTCGCATAGTCAAATCTTTAGCTTCTTGTTTTAATAATAATAATTTATCTATTAAATCATCAAGCAATGATCCTTCTAAAGTTGGCATATATATATCTGTAGCCATCTCACCCATACCTTTTTTGCTAACCCCTTTATGTCTAGAATTTGTGGACTTATTAGCTAAGACATAGTGATATAATTTTGTCTGAATATGTGTAGACATTAAAATCACATTACCAGGAGTCTCGTCCTTATATTTGCCAACTGTTTGATCTCCATTAAGATTAAAGAGGTTAGATCATTCAGACATATCTTTATAGATATCTTTAGTCTTGGTTTTGAAGAAGTAATAGTCTGTATCCATATAGTCAAGTTCAACATCATCCCCATATTTTTCCTTCAAATAACCATATTAGAATTTATACATGTGAAGCTTGCTAAGTCCTAAAACAGATGTTCTGACTATAATAGGCTTATTAAGAGTCACACTGGCCTTTCCCATATGCGCTCCTACTAATATAGGTCCAAGTGGTCTGCCATACTTGAAAGATGGCATGCAGACCTTATTCAAGAAAGCTTTTTCATCTTGCTCATTATTATTCTTCATAATCTTGACATCCTAATATTTGCAAACATTTTCTATGTCTTACCATATACTGATACATTCATAAATTTGAAAAAGTCATTCAGAAATATATTTCCAGCTTTTTTAGCCTCATTACGTTTCTCAGTATTAAAAGATATATATGGTTCAAGCCAGTTAGTCTGATCGAAGGAGAGTATCTCTGAAACTTCATCTACAACTATACCTAATTCTATATAATATGTGAGCTCTTGGTAATGGATGACATAGTTTTTTCGTGATCCAAGATGGAGAACTAATTTTTTTGTGACAGAGAAGCGTCTACCATCTAATTGTTCTACAAGTTTAGCATTATAAGGACTTAACCAATCCTTTTCTACAGCTATATTTTCTACGACTGGAGGTAAGTCTTTTGAATAATCATGAGTCTTTAAAGGAAAATGAGCATTAATATTTAAGAAATACCCTCATTTAGCATCAGATCGTGTATTGAGAATCTTTTCAAGATATTTCTTCTGCATAGCTGGATTTTTTAGTAAATATTCACGACTAGCTTCCTATTGATATTTTCCAATAGGCAAATATTGACTCATAGAATGTCCATAAAGATTTGTTGCGTCTACATATAATATCTAGAATGTGGGTTTGGATAGGTTATAGGCTTCTCCCATTTTGGGATTATTAGCCTTAAAATATTGTTGACAGGCTATAGATATACCACCATGCTTAGCTTTTTTGGTAAAATCATGCATAGTCATATCTGTGAAAAGTTCAATCCTAACTCCTGACATCTTAAGTATTCTATTCCAGGATAATGATAGGGCAGAAACATAGTGACTGGGATCAAGTTCATAATATTTCATAGACATTTTTTGAAACTCTGTACAGACATCTGCTAGACTAAGTACATTAGTTTTAAGATAGAGATCATGGTATTCACCTAGATTTTTACATCTGAATTCCTTCCATACTTTCTGGGCATGTTTGTAGTCATCTTGAGTAATTTTGCCATGAAGATGTGTACTAAATTCGTGAATGGAAGGAAGTTCTGCCTCCTGAAACCTATCATGAGAATCGATATA